TAATTCCTTTTCTCCCACGCCGCCCGAATATCACACCCAGCTAAGTATCTGGCTGAGAGGGAAACGGGCTGCGGAAGCCGCCTTGACGCATCTGGGCTTATTATTTTAATGGAAAGCGAACCCTCTCCCAGCCTATTGTCTGGACTCATTTCATCTCAATGTCTAGGACATAGTGGGCTCGATAAAGGAGCAATCATCCTATATTGGTAACACACGAGTCTCTCCCGTGCCTTCTGATGCCGTCTCTTCGTCATTTTCATCTTCTCTCGCGCGCGGGATGCTCCTTACAAACGCGAGCGAACATGATTCCCTGTCTGTTTCGAGGCTGCGGACGTAGGTGGATGCGGCAGCTGCACCTTGCCCTTGGCCTCTATATAAAGAAATCGGAACCCAACTGCTTGGATCGCATCTTTTCGCCCGTCGATCAGCCAGCCACTACATCCTACCCCAGCCCTGGGACAAAGCCACCAAACAGCCCAACTCTTGCCATACCATCGAGCAAACCCAAGCCTATCTTGAAATGCCATCTTCAAAACCCAAGCCCTCCGAGGTGGCTGCGGAAACCAAGAAGCACTTCATACCTATCATAAGGAAGGAATACGCCCAGCAATGGCCAACACACTCCTACCTGTTCCAGCAACCACTGCAGCAGATACCCCTTCAGAGCACCGTCAGCGGGTTCTCTCCGTCTCCACCGGAATTTTGTAAGCGCGCCTCCTCTCTAAGCTTACTCTACATTGATCTAACCTACTTCTTAAGACGTGTGCCCGGGGGACCCGGTCGACTTTACGATCGACTGGAAGAACAAGGTGAACCTTCGGATACCTTTCATATGTGCAGCAAACGATAAGAGAGCCGGTGGAGACTGGGAGACCGGAGTAGTGGGTTCCCCCTTTTCTTACGGTCTAATATCCTTACCTGCCCGCAAGCTCTCAGATCGAGACTACCTACCTAGCTATTCAACATGCAACTTACACGACTTTGTCTAGGTGGGGTACGAAGAGCGCCTCTGCCGGCGCAGCACGCTCTCCGCGGCGCTGGCCACCCCCGGCCCGGGCTCGGCCGTGGACTCCAACTACCCGATCCCGTCCGAAGGCGGCATCTACTCGGAGTTCGTGGTGGTGTTCCGGGGCCCGCACGACCAGTACCAGAAGCTGGACGCGTGGCACGACCTGCCGGTGGTGTCGGTGCCGGCGGCGCGGTGGCCCAAGCTGAGCCAGGGCGGCGCCAAGTACGCGTTCCCGCTCGAGCGCGAGATGGTGCGCAACAAGATGCGCGCGGCGCTGCGCATCTGCGTCTACTACGAGCACCGCGCCGTCGTCGTCGGCGACCTGGGCCTCGGCAACAGCCACCGCAACCCCCCGCAGGAGCTCGCCGAGCTCTGGCGCGACGTCTTCCTCTACGACCCGGACATCCGCGGCCGGTTTGATTATGTCGCTTTCGTCTTCGAGGACCAGCACCAGAGCACCGCGAGGCTGATTCTTGATGATATCGCGAAGAAGAGCAAGGGCGGCAGCAGCAGCAGCCATCATCACCACCATGGCCACGTCAGCAGCAGCAGCAGCACGTCCAAGGGCAAGTCCAAGGCTACTTCCTCGTCGTCGTCGTCGTCGTCGGGGTCGGGGTCGGGTTCGGGCTCGGGCTCGAGCGCGCCGTCCGACTTTGAGATCTTCGCGCGCGTCTTCGACGCTAATGAGATCCAGGCCGTCCTGAGCCGCCCGGACCCTCGGTACGGCATCTCGATGCTTACGTCGTGAGCGAGGTTGGCAGAAGGGATTCGGCAATGGGTTTCCTCCCGTGCGCCGTCGCACTGCAGCAGCAGCAGCAGCAGCAGCAGAAGAAGAAGAAGAAGAACGTCATACCCGGGGACCAAGGGGACGGAACCATGCGGGTGGGGACGCGTTGGAACCCGACGGTCTGGTACATGACCGGGGGGGTTGGACGGCCTGGTACTCGGGATGACGAAGGTGGTTTTTTTTCTTCTTGGTTCGGTCTGGTTCGGTTCTTCCCTTCCCTTTCTTTAGAAGCGGAGTTTGTTGTCCGCACCGATGGATGGGACGGGACGAAAAAAATGTTGTCATCTTGGGCTGGCTGGCTGGGTCACTCGTCGCTGGTGGGTTGGTTCTGTATTCTATTTTTATACACGTGTAGGTAACTATGTGCTTTCTCGAGTCTTCGCATACCAAGAGATTACCATCTCGTGTCAAGTATTCACTCGGCGGGGATTACATATGATACGGTGATGGGAGAACATCCACTCCCCTATGAGGCACTTTGGGTAGCTTCCAGACAGCAGCATTGCCCCTTCTTTCTATGAGGCACACAGCACATCAGGTATACATTCCGTGTTTTACACTTTCCTTTCAAAGCAAGGTAGCTGTTATCTGTAGTTCAAGACAGTCAAACACCATTGGCTACGGGGCATTCCCCGCCGGTACCTAATCGGGGGCCTTTCACCCCATCGCCACCGTTATTCTCCTTGCGTCGGCAACTTAATCCATGAGACGGGCTGATCGGCGATTGCTAGAACGATCTGATTGTCACTATGCAGTTGAGCTAAGCTAAGTCCTAGTTAAGCCCCCCTGAATGCAGCATCCAGAGCTACACGTCGTCGTTTGCGCCGAGGCTCCCCATGTCCTGGGGTATTCCGCATTGGTAAGAGAGTGGCTTCGATAGCGTCCCCCGTAGTCATAAGCTAGGTACTTACTGTGTTGTGCAAACACTTGACGGCTTTAGTCAGATACCTATCACGGGATTTTATCCTTACCCTCCCTCGGGTGAAGCGGTGAAGCCTTACCACGGGTAGTGAGACCGGCGTGGGTATCGCGTGGCATTGGACAGATTTCGTTTCTTTTCCACGTTGGTGACGGGCCACGATGCGGCCTACGATGCGGCCCCCGTCACTGGTGCTTGTGGCGGGCGGGCGTTAGAAAATAAGTTTCTTGTCTCGGTAAGACCGCGACTATAAATTGGAAGAAATGTAGATCTTGTTCAATCTGTCCCTAGTGTTGTCATGTAAAGGGGGGAAGGGGGGGAAGGGATCCATCATGATATGCTTCCATGCATATGCAAACAAGACACCTCGGGATCCCCTAAGCAGAGGGTAGGGGCGGTAGGGTAGGTAGGTAGGTTAGGTAGGTAGGTAGTGTGGTCCGGCTCCGCGAAATAGGGAGTGTACGGGAAACAGGCCCCATTGGATGGCCTGGCATTGATCTACACGGGCAAGAGGAAGGAAACGGAGCCGGATCCGTGCCTTAGGTCGGTATGCATGGAGTTAACCTAACGTTCTAAGAAAGCAGCTTCTACTTCCTGGTTCTAGAGATTAGCGAGGTCGATCTCTCTCAGTTCCAGCCACTTGGGTTGAGGCTCTCTCTCTCCCTCTGTCTCTCGTAAACAATCTGATCGTCGCCGAAGAGAGAGATTAGCGAGCGCCTTCGGGAACTTGGATGGCTGCCGTGACGCGGAAACCAAGCACAGCAGCTGACTTATAACAAAGTCCCGCCTCCCTGGCTGGCCTATCGGGATGAAGCGTCCCCCGCGGAAGGCTGCATATGTGAGGTGGCTACGTACGTGGGCGGATCTTACATGCTTATGCCAGAGAGATATATGGAACTAGGGCATATATGTTAGGTATGTACACCTAGTTAGATGTGGTCCCTGTAGGTTACCGACTCACTACATATAGCCAGTCATAAGTCATACAAGATCTCGATGGGTAGCGCAAGACCCCGAGACTCAATCCCGTCCCAACTACGCTAAATATAGTCTAGATTGAAGAATGAGAAAGAGATCTCTTAAGATGAGACTAGCCGTGCATACCTCTATCACTTTCCTGGCCCGTCGTCTAGGGGTTCCGGCATGCAGCGTAGGTACATATATGATGGATCAGGTGGCCCAATTCAGCCACCGTTCTCGGCATCGCCGTTTGCTATGTCTTGCTTTCGAACAGAAAGACACGTTGCCGATGGGGAGTTAAACGCATATGATTAACGACAAGGGGTTTTTGCGCGCATGGGACGGCTCGGGACATGTGGCAGTCGTCAAGGTCTTGTTGGTAGGCAGGTAGCTGGGAAAATTGAAACCGGTCAGAGGAAGGAAACCGGCAAGGCTCGCGACGGGCAGTCGATCCCGTCCCGCATTCCCGACAGCTGGAGCTAGTATGAACGACGACCGCATACGTAGCCGGCATATAGGTAGGCAAACAGGGGAAAAGAAAAAATATGAGTATGAGTAGGTAATGAGAAGGTTAGTGAGGCTGAGAGAGTTTGTCACCGACCAGACCAATGACGAGCCGTGTCGGGGTAGCTGATAACCGGGAGGCGCAATTCGAAACAGCATGGCGTTCTTCACAAATCTGAGCTGTTACTTTCTAACGCGCCATTGTGGTTTGCTCGCGTTCGAAGTAATGAGACAGCGAAACTTGCCGAGAAGCTTACCTACCTAAGGTATAATGACGATGATATCACGGTCTACTTACGAAAAGCTAGGGCTGAAAAAAACTCGTATACCTTGATATGTATGTGGTCTTCCTTCTTTTATACTGTCCTCTGCAGATAGATATGCGAGTCTCTGGGTCCCGACCTTCGACCTTCGTACCTAGTCCTGTATCGATTCCTTCCTGTGCAACACAAATCCATTCCAAATAAAACGTTGAAGCCAGCAGTCATTACGGTTTGCCAAAACGCAGCTATCACCCAAGTAATTTTCCAATGTCTCGGGTTTACCGCCCTCTGTTTTCTCTGTTTGCTTGCCTCGCGGTTTGTGACCACAGGCGACTTGCATGGGCGCAGCAATCGGCCGAAAAAGGGAGATTGGAGATTACTTACCCCCTTAGGTACCGACCTGGTAGCGAACAGAACAAAACTGACGAGCAAGATTTACGCATTTACATGTTAGTATACTGATTACAGTTAGTAGAACTCTCTAAGCATTAAGATATCCAGAGCCACAAGGTGTTGTCGGTCAAGTTGCAGGCAAAATCAGAGAAGGAAGAAAAAAAGTACCATTGCGGGGGTTCGAACCCCGGTCTCCAGGGAATCAAAGTTAGATGTTTGAAAACCTGGCATCCTAAACCACTGGACGACAATGGTCATATATAAGTCAGGACCTATTGTGTAATGCTAACCTTGAGGTTGTTAATAAGTCATGCATTTGTTGCCTCTGCTTGTTATACTATCATCACGGGTAGGCACATCTTTCTACCTTAGGTAGCTGATAGAAGAACCATGATCTGATGCTAACGCGGCGCGCCGCCGCGGCAACACACAGGTTACGTATGTACCCTTAGATTTTGTGAATGTTGCTTGGTCTCATGCTAAAGCTTCTTTAGCCCGGATCTAGACCCCCGTCTCCCAAGCGCCGCGTTCTTGGATTCGTCCTCCTACCTACCTACCTAGGTATGTAGCTTCGGGGAATTTCTTCTACTCTACACATGTACATTTGCTATCGCAGTCGTACCTTTCCTACCAGTACTGCGGTCTCAACCCCTGGAACGTCGACGCCAGGGAGCTTTGCTCGTCGCCTTCTTTTCGTCTTTGGCCGGCCAGCTAGAACAGCGGATGTTAGCGACCGCCCATCCATCGACTACTTGAACCGTGGGAAACAGCCAACTGGAGATTCGTCTTAGAAACTCGCTCTTGGTCTGCGGGTGGTAGGATGAAAAAAAAAGAAAATTGAACTTACCTCAAGTTGTACACCCTTATGTATGTGCACCAGCCAGTCCACGTAGCTCTGCGCTTCATTGTTACGGTCTTCAATCAACATCCGTGCGAATTCGTACTCAGCCCCGTCGATTCCTTGCCGAGCTAACTGAATCGTCAATGCCTTGGAGCCGCGCATTGTCTTGAGGAACTCGATTATGTTCCGCACTTGGGCGTTGAGATGCGTCTGTAGAACTGGCAGCGATGAGCTGTACGGGTCGAGCGCGTTGAGGCTATCCTTCCCTTCTCCGAAGAGATCTACCAAGAGGTTGGGTGACGTCTGAGAATGGAACCATAACAGACATTGCTGCCCGTTATCCACCAGGTATACTCCACCCGGTTCAACCCTACTAAACGACGTCCGAATGGCTGTTGGTACCTTCAAATGACCGGCTTCGTCGGGGAATCCATCTTCCGGGTTCAGGTTGTGGATGGGTATCATCCTGGGGTAGACGTAAAGACTAAGCTCCGGGGCGCCTATCGACCTGATCATGCGCATTTCGTGCACCCTCCGGTCAGAAGTCTCATTGCCCCCCTTGAAGGCTCGGCATTTGATGAGTCCAAGCATATACATCGAAAACTCCTTAAGCTTTTCCGGCATCACAAGCTGTCCCGGAGGATGAGACTGAGACGAAAAGTTCTTGCGATATCCTGCTAGAACATCGATCGTCTTCTCTGTTAGTCCTAGACGTATGTCCTTCAACGAAGTAGAGGTTGATGCGAGTTTCGATGCGGCATCCTTAGCAAGGATCGTGTAGACGGCATCTTGGTCCACGAATTTCATGCATTCTCTTGCATTTTCGCTAACGCTCGCGATCACGTTACAGCACCTCACTCGGCGCTGACCGGAAGCCGTGGTGTAGAGCAAGGCAGATTGGAAATGCGCGTCGAGCTTAGCGTCGAGCTTCCCATCATAACCAAACGTCACGCCCACAGCTTTATCGGCGTCTATGACTCCAATCTCAAGATCGGCTCCGAAGGTATGTTGTATGAAGTTGCCGTGATATGCCGATATCTGAAGACCGTTGGAACATCGAACTTTCATCAATGCTTGATAACCCGTCTCTCTTGTCACCGTATGCTTAATCTCCAGTGAAAGTTTAGCGTTATCGCGTCCTGCCACAAAATTAGGATAGTAGAATGTTTCTCCTCCGGTTGTTGATGCAACATGGCCGATGGTGGCTATGTCCAAATATCCACCAGATGGTGCAGCTAGGAAGAAGTCGATACCAACACCAGCCGCAACCATCTTCTCTGCCACCTTCTTCCACGCGGGATGCTCCGTAGAGAAAAGCTTCTTGTCGACTTCACCGCCTGGATACTTGCCATCATCCCTCATAAAGAGACGGCCCGGGCCCCAGGTAGGCAAGGCGGATAATGAACATACAACCTTTCCTCCAGTCTTTTCCAATGCGGCCAAGCAGGAGGTCAACGTCGGCAATAGAGCAGGTTCCGGGTTCTTGATGTCTGCGAATAGGGTGGGTAATCGTGCTAGCAGTGAAGTAATAACGGCCTTGGACTCGTAGGGGTCCACAAATAGTCCATCGTTGAGTGGTACAAAGGGGTCTTCGATATCTGGCATTATCATCATTTGTGCTTGTTCCAAGGCGGGCTGAATGGCCATTAGCGTTACCCTCCGATTCTAGATCTTACCTCAGAACTCACATTGCAATTGTAAAAATGAATATCCTTGTCGTATGTGACAAATCCGACCTTCGCGCCGAGGGGAATTCGCCGTTTCGGCTCACCGTTCTCATCCGTCTCTTCACCCCCTTCCAAGGCATATAATGCGGAGAGAATTCCTTCGCAGAAAGCTTCCAAGAATCCCTTGTTGTAAGACTCCTGAGTGACGTCAATTACGAATAACCAGTGTAGACCTGTGGGTTCCTTCGTCCAGTACTCCTTAGGTACTGTGAATTCAACGGTTCCCCTACACAATTCAGGTCGTTGATCCCGATCCACTCTCACGCCTTGGGGGTTCGTCGCGCAAAAGTACTCCGAGGGGGTATCGTTGGGATATGTGCACAGATTGCACACAAATTTGCTTCCTCCGGAGCGGAACATCATAAAGGGGTTAATATAGGCGCGACATCTTCGACACCTCGGCGGCCCAACGTCTCCGAAATCCAGTAGAGGGACCTCCATTTCACCGGGCTGTAGGCGAGCTAGAGGTTGCAATATCAGACCCAAAGGCAGGCCGGTACTGTTTAAGCCTTCAGCATTGGCTGGGATGCTGTTCATCGTCAACCGAGTAAACTTGGGTGAGGAATTGCCTTGATCGTAGGCGACGAAGGAAACGGTAGCAGGAGGAGGCACATGGCGTTCGAATGTGGGATAGACATTGGTTAGGTAGTACTGTTGCGGCACGTCTCTAGAGACGGGCACGCTCGGAATATCGTCCGGCGAGACCGCACCCCCGCCGGAAGCTGGCACGGCCTGGCCTTGATCTCCCTGACCATTTCTAGCAGCAAATTCGGCCTGGGTAGCTGGAGTTCCGGGTTGGTACGGCGCATTGACAGGCGCTGGGAATTGGTTCGGCGAAGTTGGCTGCCCGATAAATTGGCTGCCTGCTTGTACGGAGGGGTCTGCATTCAAGAAAGCTGTCGCGGGCGTTCCCGCAGGTGGTATGCCATTGTATGCTTGCGAAGAGCCGGCGGGGGCTTCGACAGAGTGAAATACGTGACGATCCTTCTTCTTCCTCCTTGCTGTGTGTTGTCCATCTCCTAGCGACATGCCCGCCATCTGAGAAGCTAAACCTCCATCTTGTGGGGGTGCAAATCCTGGAGCCCCAGCTGGTGAAGGGCCACCGACGGGAGGTGGGTTTCCGTAATACTGCTGGCCCTGGGGAGCAGGAGAGCCATAGCCGGCGCCTTGCTGGTATGGGTTTGCGGCGATGGGGGGTTGAAATTGCTGAGGGGCAGGTTGGCTCGTTCGGTTGGGGTCGTTAGGGTCGAATTGCTCGCCTTGGCCCAGGGCGTGATACATGGAGTAGTCGGCCATTGTAAAGGAGAGTTCGGTGTGTTCGGGGTATTATCTATACGGTTTGAATTCGTAAACTATCGCTCTACAGTCGTAGGGTTGTATATCTCGTATACTTGGAGGAGTAACGCGATTCGGATCGGATTCGGTAAGTCATAAACATTTAGGAGTTTCCATGGTATCGAGGTCTTGCGATTACATGCCAAAAGCGCAGGTGGGAAAGTACAGATAGCCTAGGGGAAAAGGGAAAAAAAAAATCAGTTGGAGAGGCCGAAGAACTAGAAGCTGAGAGGACAAGCTGTCAGCCAGAATGGTGATCCTTTTTGTGGCCACAGTCAAAAATGACATGGACATCTGAAATCATAGCGAGCCAAGAGGGCGCATCTGGATGCCACCTGGGCAGGGGTTTGGTACATGACACGATATCATTCCGGTGATTTTCCGATCGCCAGACCCACTAAAGCTGAAGGTGCAGGTAGGTGCTCTAGGTACCTTTCTGGGTTCATGTGGCTGTCAATTTAGCGTCAATTTAGTGTGTGGTCGGTGCTTTACCTTCCCTTTACCGAAAGAATGGGGCCTACCTATCGTTCACCATCGTACTAACCTAACCTAGGTAAATGCAGCCCTTCACCTTGCTCAAGTACGTACCTAATCCTGCGCGCCAGGTCTTGGCTATGTATTTTCTTTCTTTCCCATCTCCAAACCTTCAAAGTCAACCATCCGCAATCCCATCGCAAACAGGTCGAAGAACTACTACCGAATATCTGCGCACCTAGAGTGCTGCTAGGTCCACTAAAGGTCTTTTTACTACCATGGTGACGGAGCTATGTTCACCTTCAGCTCATTACAGGGGGCGCTTTCGGAGTCAGCCGCGTCGCAATCAATCCTCGAACTAGATGGAGGTATCAAGGTGTTAGTCGATGTCGGTTGGGACGAGTCCTTTGATGTCGCAAAGCTTAAGGAACTAGAGAAGTATGTTATTCCGTGTCAATCTCGGAATTTTCTTTGTCTTTGTATCAATAGCTAATTGACATCTCCAGACAAGTTTCGACTCTATCTCTCATCCTCCTAACTCATGCCACCACGAACCACATCGCAGCTTTCGCCCATTGCTGCAAACACTTCCCGCTCTTTACTCGAATACCCGTCTATGCGACCTCGCCCGTCATCGCCCTCGGCCGTACTTTACTCCAAGACCTATACGCCTCTACTCCCTTAGCTGCCACCACAATACCACCGAGCTCCCTCGATGAGATATCCTTCTCGTACACTGCTCAACAATCTTCCTCCAACATTCTCTTACAGGCTCCTACTCCGGAAGAGATCGCGACGTACTTCTCCCTGATCCATCCTCTCAAATACTCTCAACCACATCAACCTCTCGGATCTCCTTTTTCTCCGCCCCTGAACGG